TTAATACACGTAATCCTATTATAAACACAGTAAAGCAGCTTCTAAATAGACCCAGTTTTGCTCACACACATCCCCCCCCCCAGGACGTCGCTCACCTCTGCCGAAGTCTCGGAAGCCTCCAACAGGGAGAGGACCAGCCTAAATCGAAGCTTTGGCTGTAGGGCGCTTACGAAAAATCAGAATAATACTCCCTACAATGGCAAGAACCTCAGAACTACATATAGTCATAACATTAATCATCATGATAATCGTAATAATACAAATAATCATCAGAATACTATTATATTACTGACAGCCAGAATAAGGTTTTTGGGGTTGGGGCACAATGCCATTATACTTGAAATACGGAAGCCTAAGGCCCAAAATTGCGGGAATTAGTTTGGGGGGTTACTTAAAGCCTTCCTTTGAGGGCTTCTTAGAGGGCACCTCTGAGGATTTTTCTTGGAATCCTCGAAGTTGTGGGATTCGGGTTTTCCTGGGTTTTACTTTTTTACTTGGAGGTTCATGGGTAGTTAAAAGTGGGGTTATAACCAGGGTAACTATAGTTATAACCCGTTAAAGGGACTTATAGCCCTACTTATAACTACCCATGAACCTCCAAGTAGGCGTGCTTCAGGGCTAGGGTTTAGGGTTTAGGCTTGAGGCTTTGGGTTTTTGGAGCTTCGGGGCTTGAGAGTGGATTGAGGGTTTAGGGGTCGGTTTGTTGTAGGTCGGGTTTACTTACCTTGCGGCTTTATGGCATAAATAGGTTTAGGCTCCCGTAGGCTTTGAGGCCGAGGTTTTGGTGCCTTAGCAGCAAAGGGTTTCGTCGGTAGAAGCCGGCTGAAACAAGCCACATCGCGACAGCATGACAAGATCTGGCATGTTCCGGCTAGGTTTAAAGACCACCCACCCTAAACCCTAAACCTAAACCCTAAGCCCTAAACCCTCAACAAACGAGAATTGCATCACCGTAGCGCTCCAGGACCTCGAGTCAACCCTGGACAGCTCAATTTCACGCGCCATTCCTTGATATGGACTTGCAAGGAAAAAGATGTGCTCCTTAAGCCTTGAGTATACCTGTCGTATAGTTTACGCCAGAACCCTATCCAATCTGTATTGCTATTGCCACCACCAGCTCATCTTCATCACCGTCATTGTTATAATTATTGTTACTGTTATTCTTAAGGCACCCAAACAAACCAGGAAAAAACCCTAAACCCTAAACCCCGAAATCCTGAACCCCTAAACCCTAAACCCCTAAAGCCTAAACCCCCAAACCTATATAACCCAGAAAAAAGCCTGTAAATCCCGAGGCCAGCGCGGTGCGAGGTTGGCCTCCTTGAAAGCCAGGAGCCGGATGGCCTCTTGCTTTTGGTTTTACGCCTTGGGGTTTAGGATTTAAGGTTTGGGGTTTAGGGTTTAGGGTTAGTTTGGGGTTTGGGGTTTGGGGTTTAGGGTTTAAGGTTTAAGGTTTAGGGCTTAGGGTTTAAAATTTAGGGTTTAGGGTTTGGTTTTATTGGGGTTTGAGGGTTTAGATATTCAGGTTTCAGGCTTAGGGCTTGTAGGGTTTACTACAAGAGCTCTTAGGTTTGGGCTGTAGGGACGCGCTCAGGGTTACTATAAGGGCTCTTATGGGTGATTGTGTTTGGTCAAGTCTAGGACATTTTTAGGAGCCTTATAGAAAGTCTAAATCATACCTTATAGAAGCCTTATAGAAGCCCTATATACCCTAAACTCCCCACCTGCACTTTCCTTGAATCAAGGCTCCTACAAGAGCTCTTAGGGGTGTTTGGGCTGTAGACGAAGAGCTGGCTGAATTATTGTCGATCTGCGCGTCGGAAGCCAACACCCTAAACCTTGCAGTGATTCTTCGAACGAGCAGTGGACGAGGCCTTCACAAAAGTTCGAGTCCTTCAAAAATCCCAAACCTCAAAACATTCTGAACTGGTGGCTTCTTACGGGGCCCTTATACGCAGCAAAAAGCAAATCAAACTTAGGCTCTATATTGGCGGGAGGGGGGGATAGGGCTTGGGGTTTTCAGGGTTTTCTCTACAATTAGTCACAGCCTTTGTGAGTGTGCTGAAGTAGCTAAAATGACACTCCGATCCAACACAGATATTGACAAACCCGTGTCAAGACAAACCTGATCGCAACAATCACGTCCCACCCGACCACATCGCTGAGTGTCGCACAAGATTCAAGCATGAACAAACCTGATGTAGGGGCCTTAATAATTCGAGGAGGGTCTTGCGTTCCTTTATAGAATAGTTACAATAAGGAGCTCCTGCAGTAAGGAATAATATGAATGATCATGAATAGTATTGATAATCATGTAGGCTTCTCAACCCTAAACCCTAAACCCTAAGGGAGCATTTCCCCCCCTGTGAAACAGAAGCCCGGGCGGCCGGAGTCGTAGGATGCGGCTCCTCCTGAGTGAGGGATGTCAGGGTTTCGGGGTTTTTTAACGTTAAAAACCATGTTTTTTAACGTTAAAAAACATGTTTCGAGGTTTATGGTGCAGGATTTAGGGTTTCGGGGTTTATGGTGCAGGATTTAGGGTCGGGGTTTATGGTGCAGGATTTAGGGTTTCGGGGTTTGTGGCGCAGGATTTAGGGTTTCGGGGTTTGTGGCGCACTATTTAGGGTTTCGGGGTTTGTGGCGCAGGATTTAGGGTTTCGGGGTTTGTGGCGCACTATTTAGGGTTTCGGGGCTGGGGGACTTTAGGGCAGATTCCTGTCCTTCTATCCCGAACGTATCATCCCCAGGCGCATGTGATCGTACGTTGCAGACCCTTGCTGGATCAGATAGAGAGCAGGAGATGCACCACCCTAAACTTCACACCCTGAACCCCTAAACCCTAAACCCCTAAACCCCTAAATACTAAACTCCTAAACCCCTAAACGCCTAAACACCCCCAATCCTAAACCCCTTGAGTTGAGCTAAACTCTTCAAAGATTCCTGGCGAGTTCTAGAGTATCCATGCTTTGGGGATTCAGGCGGAAGAGCTCTAAGTCTGGGCTTTTCCGGGTTTAGGGTTCAGGGTTTAGGGCCTAGGGCCTTTAGGGTTTAGGGCCTTTAGGGTTCAGGGTTTTAGGGTTCAGGGTTTGTGGCTTAGGGCCTTTAGGGTTTAGGGCCTTTAGGGTTTAGGGCTTTAGGGTTCAGGGTTCCATTGAAGGTTTGTCTTGCGCCCTCTTCCCACTTTTCACGATGGTTGGAGGTCTATGCTTCGAGAGCTGAGCATGCCTCTGCTCCCTAACTACGCATAGGCCCCATAGTAGTTCCTCTTCGTGGCTTACATTCAGGATCCTATTAGGTAATCCCAAAAAGGAACTGCTATGGGGCCTATGGGTAGATGCATGCCGCTTCCCTCTGGATCACATGCATTTGCACCAAGCGACCAACAAACACATGCAGAAAGCCCACAGAAAAACAAAGCACACGCAGAATCATCTGAGGCCGGTTGACCCTTCAATCAACCGTACGAAGAACCGTGCCAGCAAAGAAATACAACAGGCAATCAAACAACCGGCCAAACGAGCAGTGAGGCAAACATAGTGTGCGAGCATGCATGCGATCGTAACCAACTAAGCAGCCACGAGCACAACAAAGAAACAACACACACACACACACCAGCAATGACACAAACACAGTCAGAACATGCGAAGCTGCCTGCATACTCAGAGCAAACCAAACACACGGACAAAGAGCAACCTACAACCACGACAGGCACGATGCAGGCGCGCGTGCGTGCTTGCCTGGAAGCGAGCAAAAATTCACAAACCCCATGACGGAGGGAGAAGCAGACATAACGAGGCAAGACCCTCAACGCCCAGGGTCGCCACAACGGTAACGATAAGGCTTACTTCAAGGCGTGGCTTTTCGGGCTTAAGCGGTTACTGCAACAACAGGTTCCAAACATCGTGTCTTTCTGAGCTGCACACCCCCAAGAGCAATGATAGGTCCAGCTCCGCCGTCACAGCCTCGTGTTTAGGATTCAGGGTTTACGGTTCAGGCTTCTGGCATGGGGATTTAGGCTGCCACGGAAAGGTCAAAACATCCGAAGCACGAGACAGGTGGGTCGCAAAGGTTGTGCAGACCACAGCCAGACTGGGCACTAGTTACTAGTGTCCGTGGTTGCTGACTAAAGCATTGTTGCGTGCGCCGATGATGCCGCATTCAGAACATCTTCTTCAACGTAAGGTGCCCCCTGAGGACTCCCTCCAGTACGAAACTTCAGCCGTGTTGTGTAGATGCCGGAGACATGCTAAGGATTCGATTCGGACTGAAACATGTTATCTGGTGCGGATATTGTGCGCGCCAGAACAACTAGACTAAGGTGCTGGGGCTGATTAGAAGAAGCAAAGTTGATTTGTCCGTAAAGAGGGACATGATACTGTTGCTAACCAGTCAATTTGGATTAATCACTGATAGCCAGCGGCGCTGCTTTGCACAATTCAAGCATCCGCGAGACAGCAAAAGCTGCACGTAACGAAAACCTGGAGACACACACTGCAGCAGCTTGATCGAATTATACCGCAACAATCTCACTGTCAAAGCCGCGACAACAAGCTTTCAACTAATCAAATAGTCTGTTGAATAGTCTGAAGTGCAAAACTTTGGAACGAAGAGGCTGCAGGCCTAGTTCTTCGGCTCACCTCATCAGCCGCCTCCTGATCTCCGCAAGGAGACCCCTTCGGAAGCTTGTCGGGCTCGTCCACGTTGGATGAATGTGCCGATGGTATTCGTGCGACAGTTCTTCCGATGGTTCGTCTGACATCTTGTCATGCAGCCGGCGGCATCAATATGTGTTCGAACACTTTGTCCTCTCACTCCGTGCTGGCCGTTCGCCGCGGTGTTTGCTAATGCCGGCAGCAGGACCGTGACATGCTGTCATCGAGCGGCTCAAGGCCGATACCATAAAACTGGCAGGAAATGACCACTCGATCCTGAATTCGAAGTCCTAGATTCACACCCTAAGTGTCGAAGCTCACACCCCATACACTCCCATACCCTTAATGCCTTAAGCCGGATATCCAGTCCGAAAGTCATAAACCCCACGATTCCTGGCCTTGAGGTCTGCAAGCAGCGTGGACGCAATCAGGTTTGCTGCTGCGGCAGCGAACCGTCGTCTGCGATTGGGCATACTTGAAAGGGCGAGGCAGTTGTAACCTACTTGCGGCCTTCAAGTCCAAGAGTATAACGAAGACCTGAACCCTAAACCCCTAACCTAATGACTAAGATCATACCTTTTGGACCTCTACGGCTCCAAGGCGTAAGCAATCGTAACATGACACGCAAGTAGTTCCCCGGCCCCTATGATGCAAAGTCTGCCAAGAGCAAGAGCAGGCTGACGTCGATGCCCCCTGAGATGCTCCAAGTCTCGGTCGTGCCTTGGCATCGCGCCCACCCACCGTGGCCAGCCAGCGAAAGTAGCAGCGCCATTCCTCACCGGCTCGGCGTGGCGGTGGGCCGGTTGGCTCTCCTGGCCGCCTGTTGTCCGCCCGCTCTGGTGTGTTTTGCTCCGCAAGGGCGCATCCGGTTCGCCCGTAGGGTCACTCCCTGCCTGCCAGCTTAATGCGTGGTGGCCAGTCGTGGCGATCCTTCCGGTGCCGATGGTGTGGTAGATGACGAGGCACAAACCCCCCTGAGCCCAAAATCCCCAAACCCTGAAACACAAAGACCCAAACCCTAAAAACTCATAATACTCAAACACCAAAATCCCAAAAGACCAGCGCTCTAAACAATGAAAGCCCAAGGCCCCACGGGCCCCAAACGTACCTTGAAACAGTCGCATCAAACCCTAAGCCCGAAACCCCAGAACAAAAACCCTGTAAAGTCCTAAACCCTACAGTCTAGCCCGAAGCCCCAGAACAACAACAAAAAAACTAACGTCCTAAACCCTATAGGTTAAGCCCGAACCCCCCCCCTCCAACAAAATAACAACCTCCTAAACCCTGTAGGTTAAGCCCGAAACCCAGAGAAACAAAAAAACAACTAACGTCCTAAACTCTATAAGTTAAGCTCAAAAACCCAGAAACAAACAAACCACATCCAACATCCTAAACCCTAAAGTTAAGCCCAAAACCCTTCCCAAAAACCAAAAAGTCCTAAACGGTCCTAAACCCCAACCCTAAACCCTAAACCCTAAACCCTAAACCCTACACCCCCCAAGCCCTCAGAGCCCCCCGGAAGGCCTCAGCGGGGTCTCCTCTGAGCTGCCAAGCGATGGGACCACCAGCTCCGAGATGGCCCAGGGCCAGAAACCTGTTAGGGTTTAGGGGTTTAGGGTTTAGGGGTTTAGGGGTTTAGGGGTTTAGGGGTTTAGGGTTTAGGGTTTAGGGTTTAGGGTTTAGGGCTTCTCTTTAGGGTTTAGAGGGCTTTAGGGTTTAGGGTTTTAGAGGGCTTTGGGGTTCAGGGTTTTGGAGGGCTTTAGGGTTTAGGGTTTGAGGGTTCTTGTTACATAAACCGGGTTTTAGAGGGCTCTAGGGTTTAGAGCTTTAGGGTTTAGAGGGCTTTAGGGTTGAGAGTCTTAGGGATTAGGGTTTTAGAGGGCTTTAGGGTTCACGGTTTTGGAAGGCTTTAGGGTTTAGGCTTTTGGGGTTTTACAAGGCTTTACGGTTTGGGGTTTGGGGGTTTTAGAGGGCTTTACGGTTTGGGGTTTTGGGGTTTTAGAGGGCTTTAGGGTTTAGGGTTTTAGGGGTTCAGAGGGCTTTAGAGCTTAGGGTTTTAGGGTTCTTCTTATATAAACCGCAATAATAACGATGATCACAATGATAACAGCAATGGTGAGAGCAGTAGTAGTAGTAGTAGTAGTAGTAGTAGTAGTAGCAGTAGCAGTAGTAGTAGATGGTGTTGAGCCTTGTTGCTGATTTGGATTAGTAGCCGCAATGGAAATAGCAACAAGAGTAAGAGTAATAGTAATCATGAGTGATAGTAATAGTCATAGTTTTTAATGATAACAAGAACAGTATGAGCAGCAACAAACCTGTGACAATGGGTGGTCAAAAAACTTATCAACAACTACGGTGATCCATACGGCCATTGCTGGCCATTGTAAGTAATCCTGTTTATTGTGATAGTCTTTCGTTGTTTTCAGTGCTGGGGCTTGGGGGTGGAAGGTGTCGGGCTTGAGGGCTGCGGGTCTAAAGACTCACGGTGTGACTCCAATTCCCGAAACCCAATATAAACCCAGTAAGACCAAAAACAAACTGACCCTCTCCAACTTATAGAATCCTTATGGAAACCTTAAGGCTCATGATTATCCTCACATACAGTCCCCGACCGAAGCAACCTGCAGCAGCTTCTGCGTCAGCACGGCAGAGATTTGCCTGGTCTCGGAGTGCAAACCCAACCAGCCGAAGACACCTTGAGTAAGGAACAACCCCTCAATTGGAGGCGGCATAATATTAAAGCACAAATTAACGGTATATGTCCCAAATCAAGGGTGTACCGGACCCCCTGCATGCTTGGGGAGATGGGTTTTCGGGTTTTGGGCCGAGGATTGGCAAAATATGTTTGTTTCTGTCTTTCCGTCTGTCCCTCTTATTGTCTAGAAATATATGTATACAGTACAGACCTCTCTCGATGTATATGTGTATATATATATATATATACTCATCTTCATTTCTCAGCTATTTCCGAATTTTATATTTATGTCACTATGTATACTTATATATATACACACACACACACGCACACACTGTGTATGGGCAGAACCTCACGCACATTTTTCCCGTACTTTCATCTTACATATGCCAGCTTCCGGAAAACTGCTCCATGTACTGCATAAAGTCTCCATTTCAGTTCAATTTTTTGGTTTACATAAGCATGTTTATATCAGGGATCCCAAAAGGCAAGCTCTAAAAGGAACCACAAGGAGACTGCAGGAAGGTTCCCCGATTCTGCCAACATGGGACACAGTTCTTCCAAACAAAAGCACAACGACCGACCACGCTGAACGTTTGTGCTCTAAGCACCCAAACATCGCAAGTCTAAGCTCCTCAAACCCTACAGCCTGAAGCCTAAACCCTTAATCCTAAGGCCCTCATGGAACTCTTTTGCAAGAACCATGCAGAGAAGAGACCCTCGCTCCCCCACCCTCTCCAAAACAAAAGCCGAGGGCCGAACCCACAGACCGGACAGCAAGGAGCTGTCGCGAGGCAAGGAAGCAAACTGCTCACGCCAACCTTCGTGAGTGTATCTGTATCTGTATCTGTATCTGTATCTGTATCTGCATCTGAATCTGTATCTGTATCTGTATCTGTATCTGCAT